ACTGCTGCACACCTCCTGATGAACGTATCTGTTCTTCCTATCCCTGCTAGTGATGCTGTTCCCCAGCAGACTAACAGAGCAGCGCTGCGGCCATAACTGACTGATAGAAGAGGAAAATCCTGCCTCTACACTCATCAGAACACCTGAGGAGTCTGCTTTGTTCTGCCTGGACCAACCAGTCTGAGGTACTTCTATATGGAGACCACCTGGATTTCCAGGCTCCATAATGACAGTGGTTTTCCAGTGTTTAGCAGCGGCCCGTTGTTCTTCCTCCTCTGTTAGAAATCAGTGACCATAGTTCATCTCCACCCTTCATGCAGGCCACTACAAGAAAACAAAGCACACTGCAAGATGATCTGCCAACGGAATGAGCATTTTTACCCTTAAAATAAGATAATTAGATAATATGCACATGAAATAAGACAATGCAATTGTTTTTTCTCATTTTAAATGTAAATTGTTTTGTTCCAGTGTTTCTCTCACCTCCTCAGTTCAAGAACAAATGCATTTGATTTGATTTGATTTGAGAAACATTGACTTTCCTAGATTTGGATTTTTTCCAGAGCTTCACGCTGATAGATGTGTGTCATCATCACTAACAGAAAAACATTACAACAACTAAAGCTCTTCAGGTTTTACCACTTTTTTGTAGCTTGTTATGTCAGCATGTTGTCTAAAGCAAAGCTCTCTCACACTAGAGGAATTTCTAATGTTTGACAGCAATCCCTTCATGTCGTATCTATCCTGCTTTGCTAAGCAAGGTAAAAAAATGTAAATGATGCGTCTCAGTCAGTAAAATCCTCTTATCGCTGACCATAGATCACATCCACCTGAAAATAAACATTAGAGAGCATAAAAATAGATCAGAGTTATTCTAAAAAGGAAAAGAAATAAGTGGTTCAAATGAGAAGAGTTCAGATAAACCAGTTAATTCACTAATATTGAAAAAGTCTTTTATTCACTGGTTGCTTTCAATGTAACTTCTAGCAGCTTTTCCCTCCTTCTGTTGCCCATTTCCCTCCGATGTGCAGCGGTTGCTTGTAAAACAACACTCCCATACTAACCCCCCCCACACACACACACACACACACACACACACTCATTGCACAGCGCTCTTTGTCCTCCACAATATAAGCCAAAGAAACAAAGACACCATTGCTGAGCTTCAGGTTTTTTGGGAGCTCTCTGCCACTCAGAGCCATTGTTGACATGTGGAGAGCTCAGAGGACAATAAGACTCTGTAGGACGGGGACAGCCGAGACACACCCTGTCCTTCCCATTGCTCAGACTCTTATCTTTCTGCCTGATACTGATTTGCACCTTTCTTTAGATTCTATATTAATTCTTATTGATTGTTATTAGGGCCGCGCTTGTTTTAAAAGTTTTCCCTTCTATATTGTCAAGAAGATAACTTATAATTAGGATTTTTCACTTGTATTTCTAAAACAATCTGGTAGAGCAGGATGCTTAAATGAACACTAAAGTATAAAAAAGAGGATTAAATATTTAATGATTTCTGTTTGATGTCATCAAAATCTCCTCAGAATTTAAATAGAAAGAAGAACCGCGTCAGTTAGCGGATAATTGGAAGAAATGAAGACGATTCTAAATTCATTGTCAGATTTCAAATGCATGTCTGATATAAATGATACTTTAGTGGATAAAACTGTTTATTTCTATTCTGACAATGAGCTTTAAAGCGGGTGGAAGTCTCTTTAAAAGCCGTAGTTCACTTTAGCCTTGAAGAAATATGAATCAGGATGAGGATATTAAAAAATATATAGAAATGTATAAAATACTTCTAAAATTTAAGGACATTTCAGTTCAAACTGAAAATAAAAAAGTAAACTTCAGTCCTGTTAAACTAGTTAGAAATCTAGGTGCATTTTCTTTCTTTGAATAGAATATCTAGCAATATTAAAGCACTAAATCGATTTGACTACAAAATGCTGCGCTTTCAGACGCCTCGGATTCTGAAGGTATTTCATTCTTTTGTTTGACTTTTTCAGCTTCATCTCTGCAGTAATTTCTCTTTATCAAAAACAGAAACAAGTTTAGTTTGACGGATGAGAAACAAGCGATTTCTTCTGTTTCGCACTTTCAGATCCTTGTATGTCAACATCCATGCAGCTCTGAAGCAGGTCAGGAGGGTCGAGCCAAAGGCTCTGTTTGAAGGCCACAGCCAGTCTGTATGACGAGGCATCACAATCCTGCCCTTTGAACTGCATGACATCATACAACAGGCACTCGTGCGTCTTTCGCGAACTTTGGAGGTCAAGATTATTCAGTCCTCTTTCAAACAAGTAAAGAGTGTCTCTAAGAGTGAGCATTATGGGACTGCTGTGAGAGGCTCAGTGCGCCGCTGTGTGACCAGCATTGTTGACTTATTATGCTGCTGAGAATATGAAGCTCATTTAAAAGCATTTGCATGTATCTGTGTGTCGTTTTATGTCTTTCTGTGGTTTATTTCCATGGATTTATGGGTAGATAAGTCTTTAATCCCTACAATTACAGTAGCTCTTTTCTCTGTGTCTCAAGCAAAGGCAGATATTTCTGAGCTTATTTACATAACATAAGAGATGGTAGATTTCAGATTCTCAGCGGTTCTCAACTAAGCCGGCATTTAGTCTGTTATTGTGTAAAACAAAACTGATAACAGTCATTGGCAGTCTCAGTTATTCTGCTTAAAAAGCAAAAGCCGCTCTGTAAGAAAAGGGCGGTAGCGGCACAATAGGACATCCATGCCCACTTGCATGGACTTTACCAGGAGATAATGGTGACTTCTCTTTATTCTCAGAAGTCTAACTCCCAAGGTTCAAGTCAGAAATCCAGCAGAGAAAGATTCAGGCCTGCGAGCTAAACTGGCTTTTATAAAATCCAATAGAGACTAACATCATGAACAGAGTTACAGGATTAATGTTTCCTGCCATCAACCAAGTCCTTATCATAGATAAACCGTTTCATTTTTCTCCCATCAGATAGTACTGGCACTTAAGTTTTAAACATTTATACTATTGTCTCTTTAGCAAGATCTGAAAAAAATAGAATTTTGAAATACAAAAGTATGTATTTTCAATGCATAGGAAAGATTTTCTGTTGCGGTCTTACAACAGTAAGGTGACGAGCAATGTCCTTCACTTTATAACGAACTTTTCGTTGCTAAATTTTTCTCTCTTTATGCATGTGTGTATATATATATATATATATATATATATATATATATATATATATATATATATATATATATATATATATATATATATAGATATATATATATATCTATATATATATAGTGCACAGCTTTCTCCTTACTCAATCAGCATTATCTATTTGCTCAACTGTCTCTGCACTCAACACTTAATAAACTATAATTGTCTAATTTTGAAGATCTTATTTCTATTATCTCCATGTTGGTTTGTTGACATTGAGAGGAAAAACTTTATGCATCTAATGAAGTTTTTGTCTTTATTCACTTTTGATATTTTAGTTAATATTTTTTTAAGCTAAGTTCTAAAATATCATGGCATTATAAGGCAGTCGTGGCGGTTTTCTGAGGAATCTGTATAATGCAGCTTATAAGATGTGGACGTCATCATGAGTTTCTGTCATTTAGGATTTAAAATAACTACTACTTCCATTTTTTTACTAAAATAGTTTTTATGTGTTGCATCAGCCTGAGTATGCTAAAAAAATAATAAAAAATCTATCATAGTTTAGTGTCCATAACACCAATAAAGGCTTTTACACCTGCTGTAAATGACGCCTAGGCGGAAGTTCAACTAAAGAAACTAAATTACTTGCCCTCATCATCAGAGGATCATCTGCCTCTGATGATGACCAATCAGCTATGAACGGCACCTCCATGAAGCCAATCAGCATCCAGAGCTCATCTAAAAAGGTCTTCAAATCCACAACTCAGTCTGCTAACCAGCCAAGCACAGGCAGTGGTTGGCCTGTATCTGATTATGACGCCATCATTTCCTCCCCCTTCCAGCCCCCCCTCCACCATCGTGGCTAAAGCTTCATCAGAGCGTCATTCCTCTCGGACTCTCACTGCGTTCCCTGTCTAATTTCAAACGGTCCGGCAGGAGACCGCCATGTTGAGCCTGGTTCTTCCAGAGGTTTCTTCCCAAAGGGGAGTTTTTCCTCTCCACTGTCGCTTCATGCTTGCTCATCATGGACAGGTTCTCTCAACCTGTGTTATCCAGCTGGACTTCCATCTTCCAGGTCCCTGAGTGAAGCTCTAGTATCACGCAGTCCACTGGATCTCCCCATAAAGCTCAGCAGACCGTCTCTCCAACCAGCAGTCTACAGACTGACCAACTCCATCTATCTCCACTCCACCACCAGTTTCAGGCCTGGGGGGAAACAGCCCTGTTCTCACACCCCTGCTTATGCATATTAAAGATTCAGCTGTAATGTTTCCTGCCGGGGTCTGAGCGTCTTGAAATAATTGTATGAATAAAATTCTTCTAATGGTCTTTTTCTTTCGATGAGTTTTTCAGATTGAAGCGATGATCGGGCATTAATTACTGAAATGCTGAGATTAATGAAAATATTTTAATGATAGAGAAATTTTGTGAGCTTTCATTTTGAATCAATCCTCCAATACTATTCTTCACTTAATGCTTATTTTAACATTTCTTCTTCTTGAATCTTTAAAATATAAATATATAAATGCATGCAGGGCATGAGAAAACAATACCAGTACATTTAATTTTTATTAAATATTAGCAAGAATTTAAAACCTTCACCTTTTTAAATTTATGTGCTTATATTAGTGAATATAAAAACACCTCTTTAGATGTAAAGATATTCAGGTTATAGAGGGACAATAAAACAATGAAAAACAAGCTTGGGTTTTTTTTTCTAATTCTGTAATTTTTCCAAACTAAACGTCCAAAACCAGATGGTTTTTTTTCCTCCATTTTTTTTTCCTGTTTGAGGCACGAGGAGTTCTCCTTTGCTTCTTTTGGCCTTTAGTGTCAACAGGGCAATGGGGTCAAAGGTCAAAAGAGATAGAATGGCTGCAAAGACAAGAAAAAGGAGAGATGTCAGGAGGACAAGTGCTCACGCCGCTGGGGCAGGAGAAAAACAAACAATGAGGGGAAATTTGGCGGGAAAATGGAGACAGAGCAGGAAGGTCACCTGGGGTGGGGGGAGGGGGGGTGAATCACTTACAATCCACACACAGCCAAGATGTGATGGAATGTATTCACCCCCAGACCCACTCACCCCCAGACCCACTCACCCACAGACCCACTCACCCCAGACCCACTCACCCCTGCTTACACTGACAAACACCCAGATCGCCCCGTCACACCCACATCTTGCTGCCAAAGACTAAACATGGAAGTACGCCTTGCTATTGCCCCGCCCCCGCATCACCGTCTGCCCCCAAAGGGATGATGTCATTTCACCTCCTTGGCTAATGGCGCTCTCCCATTAATGTGGGGGTTTTATGTCGGCCATTTTCAGGCGGTCGATGCAGAGGGAGAATTTTATGATCAATCTCTAAACAGCTTTTCTTTCCTATTTATTGATGCCACTATGCAATCAACTGGTTTTCCTTAGATAGAAAACTTTGTATCAATTTGACTGGATGATCTGGTTGATCTGTAAAGTGCCTTGAGATGACATGTGTTGTGAATTTGGCGCTATATAAATAAACTGAATTGAATTGAATTATGGAAAGCAGCATTAAATAGAAACGATGTGTTAAACACTCAAAAGTTATGTGTGATTTCTAATCCCTTGGAGTTCAAGGAAACGTCTCCTGAAAGGGAAATGAAACGGAGCAGCGGCAGGTTTAGTCAATCTGAGGCAGAAGAACAGAACTTATGGAAATGAAACAAACACTTTGGTGAAGACATTGCTGCAGCCTTAACGAGTCAACAGAGTTTAGGGATGTTTGCTTTTGCTTGTGTGAAGTTGAGTCATAAGGTCAAGGTCCACATTTCTAGGTTGATGTCATTGGTCAATGATTAATCCCTTCTTTTCAGGCGGGAATCGGGTGGGAAGGGAAAGTTTTAGCTCATTAACCGTTTGCTAACCTGGTTGATGGAATAGTTTCTAAGTAATGTTCTGTTAAAAAGTTACATGTTGAGATTTCCTCATCAGGATTCTTTGTCCATCAATGAATAAACATTAATTTTAAGTCCCAGAGTGATTCTTCAGTGAGATAAAACAGTTCTAGTATTAAATTACTGGAAATGTTAATTTCCCTCTGAAAGCTGTCCGAAACAAACATTCATTTTCTATATAATAAATGACAATAAAAGTGATCTAAATCTAATCTACTGAATCTGCTCTGTGATTGGACGGTCAAACACGCTGAAGTTAGTTATATTAAAACACCTTCTGAAGGTTTAACACGATGCCTGAAATAGACAATAAACTGTACTTAATGCGACGTTAATAAAACTTAACTGTCATATTATATTAACAGAGTGTATATAAAATGAAATTTGCTTTAGTTCAGCTTTAAGGCCGTAAATAAATAATTTCATTCCTTAAAGTGCAGCAGTGATCAGCGGTAAACATTGATGTGGGGGTTCAGAGCTTTGCAAGACAAATATATATGCTGCAAATGTGTTGTAAAAAAACATATATTTTTTTTTTAGCTTTTTTTTCAGTTTGGTGTTATCAGTGAGATGTAGAGTCAGGGACTTGATTTATTTTTTATTTTTTTATCAGTTCAGCAGTCTGATGGCGGAGGGGAAAAGGCAAACTGATGGAACCAGTGCATGGAATGGGACCCATTAAATTATTTATCTGACCTGCAGAAAATATATTGTTCTTTTTTTTTCAGTATATATTCAGATCTGCAGTTTATCGAGGTTAGAAGGTAACAAGTTCTCCAAAAGGGTCCAAAATCAAAGCAAACATTAAACAATCATCATTGTTTGGTCATTTATCTAAGATAAAATAAATGAAAAGATAACTATATCAGTGGGTTGTAGAATTAATTTCCTGCCATTTCATCATATCGACATGCACCCACAAATATCAGCTCTGGTCTAAACTATAAAGAAGCATCAAATAATATCCCACTGTCCCTGACAACGTCAAACAAGAGGCTCCTCTGTTCAAATGCTACTATGGTAAACTTGCTCATATCCAGGATCTACAGACTTCCTTCAAATGAGCAACACATAAACACATCACCTCCTCTTGGGTTAAATAATTGGATCCTAGGGCCAAATTAAAGATGCCTTGGAGGCCGTCTCAGAAATGAGCTCATAGCTAAACCCGTGACATGGCCCACTGAACATGAAAGACCTCATAAAGAGGAACGTTGTGCAAAATGAGGGTGTGATGTCAGCAGGGTTTCTGAGAGCACGGCCATCAGCGCAGCCATCGGCCACATGAGGCCATGGTGGTCCAGGTGCTCAGAGGCTGCTGAGCGCCAGAGCTGGAGCCACAAAAAGGTTTGACTTAGGGTGCTGTAAAAAATGAATAAATAGTGTTTCAAACATGAAGGAAAATGTTATCATCAGAAGCATCAAGTAACAAAGTCCAAATATATTAGCCCCATTTTAACCGCACCGAGCTCGGTTCCTTACCACCGTTTAAACACCACGCTAGCACGGTTCCTCGCCTCCTAGTGGCGATCTGCAGTACTACTGCTCTCTAGAGAGAAACAAGCAAACCGACATGGCGGCGCCTGTTGGGAAGTGGATACGACAAATGATCGTCTTATCAGGGCTTCCACACGCAGGAATCATTGCACTGCTAAGCAGAATCATCACTGGAAAACCGTGTAGCGCGGCAGGGAAGCTAGCATTTTTATGCATGTCTGAAATTTCCTGATAACAGAGGCTGACTGTAAGGGGATGATACGGTCTGCTTATGCGCTCTTTGATATCAGAGAACCGCGCCTGAACTGAACCGCGCCGAACCCTACTGATGAGCTAGTACCATGTTAGCGCGGTTAGCCTGGGTCCTGTTCAGTTTGTGTGTCATTTACACTCAGCAGTTACTTGGGTCACCGTGATCTGACCGAGCTCAGCACGGTTTCTAAAGGGTCGTGGAAATGGAGCATTTATTTCCTTCCTTCAGTAGAAATCTATACTCATTATTTTTTAGACAACTTTTTCTTCTATTCCTTACATTTTGAAAATAGACTCGTTAGTTTTGTTTTATGTAAGCTCATTTTCATTATGGCCTGTTGGTATTTAAAAAAAAATAAAAACCATCAAAATAATCAGTTTCATTCAGACAAGGTGCTGCCCCAACTTGTTGTTCACCACATTCCAAAATAAATAGATTTTCAGGAAGATGCAGAGTTAAATGTGATGCTGTTACCATTAGTTATAAAACTAAAAAAAATGAAGTCTGAGGAAATTATCATCCAGGATTGTAGAAAACTTTCCTTTATTAGGATAGTGGGTGTTTTCTGAGGAACGAAATGCAGAGATTGAAGTTGAGGTGATTTCTTGCAGGTTTTATATTCTAAAGAGGCTACAGAACAAAAAGGCCACATGAAAATCCTCCAATGAACGTATAGAAAACAAACGTTTCTCCTCTGTATTCCGTCTGTTTTAGGCTCGTTGAGAAAAAGGAAAAGATGATTTTCTGGATGATTTTTCCTCCTTTCTGGGACTTTTCCCTGCAGATGGTAAAGTTGTCACAGAAGAAGGATAGATCTGTTGGAGAATTACCAAAATCCCAAATGATTTCTAAACAGAGTTCCTTATGACTTCAAAAGGTATATTTCACTGTGTGATACTAACAGGAAAAAGTTGCAGCCAAAAGGTTTTTCTCCATCCCAGTTCAGAGTTTTTTTCCACTTCAGCTTTCCTTCTTAGGAAACCTTGATGTTAGGACCGGTTCTCAAAACAGCAAGAACTGGTTTGTATTTTTCACACCCTCAAAGTGTCACAGTGAATATCTCTCCCACTCGGTTGTTGATCCTTTTATGGTGGTATTTAGGCCCCGTCCACACGAAGTCAAAACGAACACAAAACGCTGATATTTTCCAGAACGTTTGTCGTAAAGACGGAGACGTAAAATAAATGTGATCGTCCACACGAATGCATGAAAACGCTGCAAAATGTATGCCAGGCCTGTAAGTGGCGCTGTGGTGCCAAAGCAAAAATAAGCGACGAAATGTTGGGCATGCGCACTAATATTTATACATGGTTGCCCTGCGGGTCCATTTTGGTGGTTCAGTCAAATTCAGGTGCTGAACTATGTGGTCGATATTGCTCTGTTCTTCCTGGAGATATTCCAGAAGAAGAAGATTCTGTTGTAAGCCCGACAGCAGGGTGAGTAGCATGAGCAGCAACGGCGCCATTGTTGTTGTGATACTGGTCGCGCATGCGTGTTTAGAGACGACGCTATGACGCATGCGTGTAAAAAAAAATATGCGGTTAGAGCGTAAAGATGGAAACGCGAAAACGGCGTTTCAAAATCTTCCCACTCTGAAGGCTGAATAAAAAAAAGATTGTTTACAGACCCCCGAAACGCCGGCTTCGTATGGATGAGAGGCTGGTTTGGTGAAAAATTTGTGCGTTTAGGCCAGGGGTTGACTTCGTGTGGACGGGGCCTTAATGTGTGGGTTTGAACCCAGGGTTCACTTTGTAAATCTAGCAATCTATGACTTCATATATTCTTAAGTTTTTAGACGGTTCTTTATTCGGTCAAACTTTCCCATCCTGCAGGTTTCCAGTATTGTTCATTTCAGGATAGAGTTGTCGGGATGGGACCGCTATCCCACCAAGGGGCAACCAGATACCCAGACCCGGCTACCAGCCGATGGACCTTTCATTGATAATGGCACTGGGCCTTAGCAAATTACTGCTCGACTTAAACCTCACTGTTCTTTTCCTGCTTGCACAGCCTCATTTGTGATTAATGGAATAAAAAATAAAACATTTGAAGCAGATTTGGGGGAAACTCTTTTAGGCTTATTTTGATAAATGCCATTCACAGAAACAATGTTTAACTGATGAAGTGCTTTCTAAGTCTGGCCCTCAGAGTCCTTTCCCCTCTGAAACTTGATCTGCATGTTTTAAATGTCTCTTTCTCAGAACACCAAATTCATATGATTGCTTCTCCTCTTCATTCCACCAACAGGTCAGACAGACATGCTCAGATGGAGACAGGTGCACCAGTGGTAGAGAGGAAGAGAGACAAGACGTGGTACCATGAGAACTGCAGAACTTTAAACTGGCTCCTCCTAGGACCCAGGATCTCATGAATTAAAACCGGTCTGCACCCGCGCTCTGAGCCAAAAACCCGAAAGGCTCCAAGGAGAAGAGCTGGGACACGATCAGGAGACAGGAGACAAACACCCTCTCAACACACAGGCCCCCAAGAGTCAGGACATGAACCAGGGACTTACCTCAAACACAAACAAACAAACAACAACTAATAACAACAATACGTAACACGAATCATGATCTGGCCCCGGTAGCTGGGCTGAACCGTATATAAAGCAGACAGAGCAGGTGGATAACATGAATGGTAATTAGAGAGCGGGGAGGGAACAGCAGGTGAATGGAGTGAGTAATTAGATCAGCTACTGCGGCAAATTCTCACCTTAGATTAGATTTTCTGAAAAAAAAACCCGATATGATTACTGAGGAAAAACCAGCTTCATATTTATTCCTCCTCCTTTCCAAACTGAAAAACACCTTTTATTAATTTAACAGCTGTAAAATAAAGTCTTCTTCCATCCATTTGCACTTTTTAAAGCAGTCATTTATCTTTTCAGGTAAAATTGATATTTACTTTGGGTTTATAAATCCTAAAGCTACAGAAAATCTTCCCTTTTTAAAGTCTGACTTGAATGCTTTTTTTTGTGTATCCGTGTCAGATGACGGAACAGTGAGATCACATTGTCCTCTTGACCTTAACTAATGCCTAACTGTTTAGAGACTCTCCCACTGGTCATGTTTTATTAAAAGTATAAGAACAAAGAATAACTGAGACAGTTCCCAGAGGAAGTACAACTAGTGGGCAATCCAAAATAAAAGAGTTGAGGAAATGCCGTCCCAGATCACTGACTAGAGGTTTCAGTCCCCTAAGCTACTTTATCATCTTAATCCACCAGCTTTAAGATTTGAAATGGACCATTTACTCCCAGGTGCCTTTGGGTTCAGACCAGGATAAACAGGTGTTTGGGGTTAAGATCAGGCAGGTGCATAGGGATGGGAATCGAAAACCGGTTCCTGTTCAGAACCGGTTCCATGTGTTCCAATTCCATGGCACCGTTTGGCAGCTTGCTTAGCGGTTCTTTTAACGATTCCAGGCAGCACCAGAGCCGCTCTGGGCAGCACGACTCACATCATGTTTCTATGTAAATTACGTCACGTTTTTTACGCAAGTTACGCACACCGCATTCAGTAAGCAAGTACGACGTGACCAGGTGTAAGTCTAGGAAAGCAAACCAAAAAAATGGCGTCCCATCGGGTAAACCGATCGAAAGTTTGGATGTAAAGAGGCAACAACATCTGCGGGAGGAAATACATCCAACATGCAGAAACACCTGCGAACACAACATGGCGTAGACTTTAACAAATGCCATGTTTTTGATGGACAGAAGCTAAAGTTACGACCAGCATGGAAGGCAACTCCGGTGGGAAGTAGCTAGTTTTAAACCACTGGCTGAGCTTAATGTGGTTCCTAGTGAATCATTTCTGGAAATAAACCAGTTTCCTTCCTCTCTTTGGGGTCATTAACATTCTACCAAGTTGCTCCGCAGTTCAGGGAGATAGAGAAAGGTGACGCTCGTTTATTGAAATCAGGGGGAGATGAGTTTATTGTGAGTTTAATGAGTTTATTTCCCAAAATTGTACAGTAATGCTTTTTCATTAAATGGATGCTTTCTAGATTTAGATGACTGTGAGGAGACGGGCAGCCTGGCTGGATCAGAGGCTGCAGCTCCCGTTCACTGCCTTCTGTTTCCACCGAGGCAGGCAGAGATAGAACGTCCCAGGAAAAGGTAGACCAATGTCACCGTAAACTTACCAAGTTCATAGTTTCACAGAATCCATAAGGGAATCGGAAATGTGAAAATTTTATCAATTCCCTACAGGTGCATAATCCTGGCTTTCAATGACTAAAAACTGGGAATGTGTTCTGACCAGTAAAGAAATGTCCAGTGTTTTCCAATATGGGTTATAATTAAGGACTCATTGGTTATTATGCCTGCCATGTTCTTTCTCTCTCTCACACACACACACACACACACACACACACACACACACACACACACATTCAGTAATGTGTGTGTGTGTGTGTGTGTGTGTGAGCGCAGCTGTGACACAACAAGAGGAGCCGTTTGACCTTTAGCTTGTTGAGAGGAAAATGCAGAGAGCAGTGAAGCAGCTTCGCCTTCAGGAATCTCTGTCTGATGGAGCAGCTTTTACTCACACAGGCAGTAAAGCTGTCATCAGTCTGAGACGTATCCATGGCGATTGTCCACGTGTTGAGGGGCCATTGTTCAGTTGGGAAATATTTGTTTGTTGATCTAACTTCAGGTGAAAACAATAGTCGGAAGAGTTGAGGAATGAGGCGGCTGCGTCGCGGTCCAACCGGGCAGCTCCTCCTGCAGTGACCTCTGAGGTTGTAGTGACACAGTCCTGCACACCCAAAGCACGCAATAAAAAGGAGTGATGCGATTTCTGTCACACACACGTTATGGATGACTCACACAATTTGCAGCCTGTCGCCAATGTATCCTGAAATATATTGCAATAGCTTTTCACAGCAAAGGCAGCACAGAGTGTGATTTTACTGGAGAACAGAAGAAAAAATAATGAGCAAAATCAAGTTAGGCGCATCAAACAATATAGAAAACAGCCTTGCTAACAGATAGATTGGTCTAATCTAAGCACCTTCCACTCTCCCACATGTCCCTTTTTAACTGCAGAGTTTATAAGACTTGTTCCTGTTTTTCTGTCACATTATGTTTCAGTAAAGGACCTTGAATTTTCTGGATTGTCTGGAGAATCTTACTCTGCACGGCTTTAAAGCAGCTCTGTTTTCTCTATATTTAGGATCTACATTGATTTATTTTGATGCTTCTTGGGTCAGCTGAGCTGGAGGAAATGAAGATGTGTAGCAATCTGCTAAATCATGGGTCTGTTTAAACAAAGTTGACCGTCTGCTGTCCCAAACATCTGGCGTGTCAACAAACCTGTTTCCCTGGTGTCTGTGGTGTGAAACTCACTGTTGGTCCAGTTGCTCCTTAGTTCAACACAGTGAGCCAACATTGGTGTCTCCTCTACAGCCGGATCGTTTCCTCTGTGGAACTTTGGATGATAAATGTGTTTTTATTTATTTAGTTTAGAGAAGCATCAGTGGATGAAAGCTTTACATGATTAAAACAAGAGTTTTATTTTAACAACAGAGAAATTATTCCTTAAATTACTTCATAACATTCAACCTGGGTGGAATGTTGGCGGCAGACTGGAGACGATGTGTTCTTTAACCAGCCTTTGGAAGCACTTCATCATGATGGGAGTCAGAGCGACAGGCCGCTAATCATTGAGGGAGGCGACCTTTGGGACTGGAATAATGGAGGCAGACTGGAAGCATGCTGGCACTATGGATTGGTCCAGCCAGGTGTTAAAGATGTCTGTGAGGACACCAGCCAGCTGATCTGACCACTCCTTATACACCTGCCCAGGTGTGTTATCAGGCCCTGGAGTACTGCTGGAGGGGGGTAAGCCTATGATAATAGGGTCTGGGAGAGAGAGAGGCTCAGATATGGGCCCTGTCCGAATTCATGGGCTGCGTCCTCAGAAGGCCAGATTCGAAGGCCGATTACGTCATAGCGCGGCGCCGAGGTCTTGTGGGATTCCAAGACTCCTTGTTATGCAGCCTTAAAATGCGTCCTTCTTTTTGCCTGATTTAAGATAAGATAAGATAAGATAATCCTTTATTTGTCCCACAATGGGGAAATTGCAGCGTTGCATCATAGTGAACAGTACAGTAGGAAAAAAGAAAGAATACAAAATATAAAAAATGTTAAAAATATATAGAAAATATATATTAAGTATACACAGACAAGGCCATCACACTTGGTGTGAACAGTTAAATGGCTAAGGCTAAGGTTACAAACACTGGTATAGAGTGACAACAGTAAAGCTCTGCGCAAATGATTGATTGTATAAATTATTGCAGAGTTAAATAAATATGAGTGAAGTATACAATAGATATGCAATAATAACAGGTAAAGTGACGGTGGACATATGGTTGATACAGAGCTAGCATTGTTGGCTGTACAGTCTGACAGCAGCAGGAAGAAAGGATCTGCGGAATCTCTCCGTTATACAGCGAAGGTGTATCAGTCTTTCACTGAAGCTGCTCTCCAGAGCAGAGAGAGTGTCCTTCAGGGGGTGGTCCTCATGGTCCAGCATAGACATGAGTTTGGACAGGGCCCTCCTGTCCCCCACCTGCTGTACAGAGACCAGAGGACAGCCCAGGACTGAGCTGGACCTCTTGATGATCTTGTCTAGTCTTTTTCTGTCCATCTCAATGATGCTGTTGCCCCAGCAGGCCACACTGTACAGGATGGCTGATGCCACCACAGAGTCGTAGAAGGTCTTCAGGAGTGGCTTTGAAGGACGGGTCCAATGTATCCTCGCTTTTCCCAGGATTCCCAGGATCCTTGGAGGATGCAGCCCAGGATTTCGAACAGAGCCTTATTTCCTCCGCTAACAGGAAGGAGGAAGTGGATCTCTGTTGCCCCCTGCTGGAAATTATGTTGATTCTTTCCTCTGAAAATCAGAACAGTAAGGTTGAGCCACAGCCTTTATAACCTGTTTGAAACAAAACTGGCATCAGAAAAATTTGCTGTAAAATGATGTTTGAAATGAACTTAATAGATTCGTTTTTAGCTCTTTGTTGGAACCAATTTTTAGAATTAATTGATATGAAACTTATTTAATTGTTCTTAGCTTAAAAAAATCAATCAACCCTTTAGAGCAGGAATCTTCAACGTTTTCCAGGCCAAGGACCCCAAACTGATGACAAGATGGAGCAGGAACCCCCTAATTATATATATTGTATGAAATAGTGTTCTATCAAACTGGTTCTATAGTCACTCCATTACAGGTGGAGTAATGTAACTAAAGTAATCCCTCCCTGGGATTATTAAAGTATTTCTGATTCCTGGTTGATGAGACAGGTGTTGTGAATGAAACGGTGCCCAGCTTCAAAGAGCTCCTGTGTGTCGCTGAATGTGAGCATTGATGACTGAAAGACATCTTCTGCCTCCATTTATCTGTTTACTACAGTCTGTTGGATTCATGTTAATGTGGATTTAAAGACATTTCAATTCAGGAGGGAATATAAAAAAAAAATAAAAAATGAATCAACCAAAAGTTTCGCGACCCCCACACAGTGCCTCCGCGGATCCCCTAGGGGTCACGGACCCCCTGTTGAAGACCTCTGCTTTAGAGATAAAGAGGCAATTTCAAATAAAAGGCAGCAATGGTAAGTTGGTGTTTTAGCCAAGGATACAAAGTTCAGAAAGTTTCTGGGAAGCAGATGTAAAAAAAATCAAATGTAATTCCTGTAAAGATAAATTGACGGGAAGCAATGATGAAAATATCTAGTTTGTTTGGTCTAAACTTCACACACTTCAGATTAAACAGTCATTAAAAGTTGACCTTTAAAC